AGGTTGAGAAACACTGGTTTATATGATATATGTGGCCACCCATCTCCCATAGCGACTTTGGGATTACAAGGATTAAAATGGAAAGCACCCAAGGATAAAACAATAACCCCACTCACAAAAAAACCCACATCCACAAAGCAGAGCTTACCTAACCTCCTGACCCGGGTTTTCAGTGTCTTGTGAAAGGCTAACCGGGTCAAGGCCATCCAGATCTCCGGGAGGATGATGAACATCTAGGTTGTTCTCCAGGGGAATGTAGGAGAGCGTGGGCACAACATAGGTTTTTCACTTCTTTTTTTTCATTTTTCACAATTCCTTTTGGCTGTGTTTTTGAGACCGCTCGGTGGGTCCGACGTGGCAAAGGGCAGGAGTGTCTGCAGGGTAAGGTCAAAAAAGTCAAGATGGTGGCCCAGTGGTGCAATCCCCTGAGGTCTTCCCGGGACCAAACCGAAAGGAGAGCCGGGGGTTGCAGAGCCTGGAAAAGAAAATGACTTTACATTCAGACATAACCCTTGCCCCCCCCCCTCGTAAACTGCTAGAACTCAGCACCCAGAAGAAAGTCATTGCTTTTCATTTGTTAAAAAAAAATTAAATTTTTGATTATTTTACTTGGGGAGAACAGCCCTAAAAGCTGTTGCTTTTCTGGTGGAGCTGAGTTTCAGCCCAGCTCTGCTCTTTTGTTTTGCAAACATCAAGCAATTCACTCAGGAAAGCTTATAAAAATAAACCAATCAAAAAGTGGATAAAAGGGGACCCAGACAGGGAAACACCAGCTAAATATTTGCTTAGGTCATGGTTACTTTTTAAAAAGCTTTCAACATCGTCCCATCAGATCCTGGGGGTGGCTGGTGCCTTGATGACGCTCCCTGGGCGACCGCCAATCATTCTTGGATCTATTTATGATCGTAATTTTGTAATTTTAATTGATTTTAACGGTTTCATAAACCGCCCAGAGCCGTTCCAGGAGAGGGGCGTGACAAATCTGACATATAAATAAATAAATACATTTATTTATGTAGGTATTGCATTTCCGATAGCTCTCCCCCTCTCCCCTTGACTGCTTTTCTGCACTCTGGTTCATAAGGAAAAATCAAACCTAACCCTGGTGAAAGGTTGGAAGCAATATGGAAACCGCCGGCTTTTCTGTTCTGGAATGTTCTTTGACTTCCCACTTTCCCCAGCATCCTCAGCATTTCCATCCAGGTGCCCTGATTCTGTTGGTTTCTGCAATCCACCAAGGTTATCTCAGCGCTGTCAACTGCTGTAGCACCAATACTAATCCATCATGTGGTTTGCTCCATTTCTGGCGTAGTGGGCTGTGTCCGCCGTCCTCTGCAGCTGCAAACCACGGTTCGTGGCCTCGCATTTTGCGATTTGGTTTAATAAACCATGATTCTTGCTTAGGGCAGGGTGTGGACCCGTCATCTGGCTTCAAAACTTGCAGCAATAGTTGGAGGATGCAAGGACCTGGGTTGGGCACAACTGCAAAAGGGATAAAAATGTGGCTGAAATTCTGCTTCGAAGGGAGATGCCTTTTGCAAAAACGGTAACTTCAGAATCTGCAAGAACACCGCCTTTTCCACGGATACAGCCTCAAATGAACCTCGCCACCCATAACAGCTGCCCCAAAGATGTGGGGGGTTATTCTGCCATGCATTTACTAGCTGGAGTCGCAACTTTCAGAGCCTGGTAACGTTTTTTTGCTAGCCAGAAAAACCCGGATTGCGGGAGATTTATTTAACGCCCATTTAAAGGTCTGCCTGTCACTTTGGACTGGTCATAAATTGTGTCTAAATCTTTATTGTTCCGTATTTTCCACAAGCCCCGAGTTCCAGTGACGCAGCCCAAAAGAGAAATTGGCCCTCTGAGGCACGAACGCTGGCTTTTGGCAATCGAAAACCAGATCGTATTTTCTAAAGATAAAATGTTGCATGGCCGATCTCTACCGGTTGTTCTCGAACGCGGGCCCTTCTCGTTCCCCAGCAAGGCCGTTTTGGCCTCTAATTATCGTCGATACCCCTCAGGGCTGGTTGGGGATGATGGGAGCTGGAGTCCCAAACAGGCTAGCCTGACGTTCTTTGCTCTAACCGAGACTGTTGGGGGGACACTTCTCTGCCTTTTCCATGCTGGCTGCAACGTGGCTTCCTCCTATGCTGTTATCCAGGTTGGATTTGCACATAAGTTCAGTCTGATTAAACCAACTTGACTTTTGCAAAAGTGGACAATTGTTTGCTTCCTTCTCACATAAGGGCAAGGCTGGAGGGGGGGATATTTGAAGGTTGACCTCTGTTTTCCGAACCATTTGGATCCTATTCTAGCCTAGGACTACTGTTACCATGTGCTTCTCATTTCAAAAGGGGGCCGTTCGGTTTCAGCAATCGGGTCTAGAACAGGGCCTGTTCTAGAACAGCTGACCGAGAGGGCCTTGGGGCCACCATGTCCATCTGCCCCTGTCCAAATCCTCTTGGCTGGAAATCTTCCCACGGGCATTGTGAAACCTTGAAATCATCGTCGCCAACCTGAACACAAAGATGCAGTAGCCAACGGTGCTGGGAATCGCGGTCGAACGGCCAAGGAGGCCCTTCTGAGCGAAGCCGTACGAAGCTGCCCAGTGGCGACCATTTCGTCTGGGTTACAGGGCAGCGGTGGCAGGGAAGGCGCAGCGCTTGATTTATGAGCCATAAACTGAGACCATAAACGCGGTGTGGTTGGGAAAGAGAGCTCTTGCGCAGTTTCACCCCTGACTGCTCTCTCAAAGAGCCTTTATCGTAAATGACCTCAAAGCAGATTTTGTTCCAGAGAGAAACAAAATAAAAAGGAGAGAGGCATTTCTCACAATAACTTCTCCTTCTCCTTCTCCTTCTCCTTCTCCTTCTCCTTCTCCTTCTCCTTCTCCTTCTCCTTCTCCTTCTCCTTCTCCTTCTCCTTCTCCTCCACCACCACTTTTTCTCCATCTCCATCTCCTCCTTCTCCTTCTCCTTCTCCTTCTCCTTCTCCTCCTCCTCCTTCTCTACCACCACTTTTTCTCCATCTCCATCTCCATCTCCTCCTTCTCCTTCTCCTTCTCCTTCTCCTTCTCCTTCTCCTTCTCCTTCTCCTTCTCCTTCTCCTTCTCCTCCTCTTCTTCATCTTCTTCCTCCTCTTCACCATTTCACACATTGTAACTCTAGTTGGTCTATCCATCAAAATTACCCTCTCCCCCCCCTTAATAAATGTTGAGGGGAAACCTATGAAATAAGAGGAAAAGGCCAATCTTTTCACAGTCTAGAAAAGAAAGCAAAACCCTCACTCGGAGTGGTCTTTGTGACCGCACCATCAAGCCAAATATGACTGCCTGCCAGATGTTAGGAGCCATAAGTCAAGCCAGTTCCACCACCCCAGGGGTCAAAGGGTCCTCAGAACACCCCTCCTGATAGCCTGTGCAATAATAAAGATAAATAATGCATCTTTCTTCCTCCTTCCTTCCTTCCTTCCTTCCTTCCTTCCTTCCTTCCTTCCTTCCT